ACCGCGGTTCGATCCCCCAGCACCACATGCCAGCCAGCCCCGCCCCTTGGTGGGCTGAGCTGGCCACACACACACACACACACACACACACACACTAAATAAATAAATGTTTAAAAAAAAAAAAAAAGAATACAGTCTCGAGACTTACCTAGAAATGTCTCCACCCTGCCTTTCTTTATGGCAGAGCAGTACTCCACTGTATATAAAAGAACCACACTCTCTTTACCCACTTATCAGTCGATGGGCATGTGGGCTGTTTCTAAGGTTCAGCTATTACAGACTGCCACCATAAATAGGGATGTGCATATGTTGCTCTGCTGTGATGTTTTTAATTCTTTCAGGAAGATACCAAGGGTAATAGCTGGGTCAAATGGAACCAGCAGTCCCAGTTTACTGAGCAATCCCCACACTGATTTCCACAGAAGTTGCAGCAGTCTGCACTCCTACCCAACAGTGAAGGGCTCCTTTTTCCTCACAACCCCACCAGCATTTGCTAGTGGTTAATTTCTTAATAGCCATTCTTTTTGGAGTGAAATAGAATCCCATCATTGCTTTAATTCATGTTACTCAAAGACCAATGATCTTGAATGTTTTTTTCATTCATGTATTTGTCATTTCTACTTCTTCATCTGAGAAAGTGTCTCAATCTCACATGCCAATTTTTGGGCTGAGTCTTTAAATTTGGGGGTTGTGGGGCCGAGATTATAATTCAGTGGCACAGTGCCTTCCTGACAAGAATGAGGCCCTGAGTTCAATTCCTGATAAATAAATAAATTTAGGGGTCCTGATTTTTCAAAGTTCTTTAGATATTCAATTAGCTCTTTGTCTGAGTAACAACTCATAAAGTATTTCCTGTTTTATCTGCGCACAGTGGCACATATCTGTAGTTCCAGCACTCAGGAGGCTGAAGCAGGAGAATAACTCAAGTTCCAGGCCAGCCTAGGCTACAAAGTGAGCTCAAGGCCATCCTGAACAGCATAGCAAGACCTTATCTCAAAAAGAAAAAAAAAAAAAAAAATCCCATTCTGTAGGTTGTATCTTCACTTTGTTGGTGGCTTCTTTTTGCTATGCAAAAGCTTCTTTAATGTGATGACATCCTACTTTTCAACTATTTATATTCTTAAAACACAAAATATTACTTGAAGGCAGACTATGACAAGGTAAAGACGATATGCTGAAAGAAAACAATAAAATAACCTAAGTTATCCTGGTAAAGCATTAAAAAGGAGATGAACTGGAAAAGAATGATCAACTCAAAAGAAAAGTTTTTAAAAAGGAAACAAGGGCTGAGGATGTTTCTCAGCAGCACAGGGCCTGGGAAGTGAAAGGTCCTGAGTTTGGTTCCTGGTATCAGAAAGAAAGAAAGAAAGAAAGAAAGAAAGAAAGAAAGAAAGAAAGAAAGAAAGAAAGAAAGAAAGAAAGAAAGAAAGAAAGAGAAGAAAAAGACACTGGGTGGGGGCTTTCATTGTTGTTTTTGAGACAGGGCATCATTAGGTAGGTTTTTCTTGAACACATTATGGAGCACAGCCTCACCTCAAACTCACAGTGATCCTTCTGCTTCAGCATTCCTTATTTTTTTTTTTTTAATTTTATTTATTGTGTGTGTGTGTGTGTGTGTGTGTGTGGCCAGCTCAGCCCACCAGGGGGCAGGGCTGGCATGTGGTGCT